AGGCAATAGAATGGTATTTAAACATGTAATCGCGTAAAACCCTAATAGTGGACCATTAGTGTTAGTGATTGGATTACTAGGTTATTGGCCATTTATTTCACGTTGGCACTTATAAGTAATTGTACTCTGATCACTTCTTTAGGGAGCAAGTAGTCGTTTAAATATGTAGTTTATGTAGTATAACCACCCTTCCTGTTTACGACCTGTAATAAACATTCAAATACAAAATCAACACAAACTCAAATCAGGTGTCGACAAAATCAATTTTTTTTTTTCAAAAACTATAGTTTCAATTCTCATTTCATTATACTTCACGACTAGTTGCTTAAGCTTATATCCAATACAAGAGGCTTATTATCGTTCAATAAGGCCTCATATGGGATCAAGAAAAGAGCTTCCGAGCATAACTCAGGGATAAAAAGGACAGGAGTGGAGTAATCTCAGTCTTGCTGACAGCCGCAGTGCAAGGGTTCGATTCCTGAGATATGGAATTGGACTCTTTGTGGTACCAGTGTATGGGCAATCTCTTGTTTCCTGATCTATTATGACACATCCCGCGATTTACCTCCCTCACGTTGCTTTAGGGGCAGGATGATGGGAGCTTTCAAAGTTGGGGTTCAACGTTTAAGAAAAGAGTAGAAAGGGAGAAATCTTTACCTCCAAGATTTAAGATTTAGAAATAATCGATCTACTTGCTTATTTAAATTGAAAGAAAAAACTTTTCTTGCAAGGTTTGACGTGGCGTTTAATTCATTTGAATATCTCAATTTATTGGCGTTTAATTCATTTGAATATCTCAATTCATTCAACATCTCGTAAAGATTCGAAATTTGAGATAAAAACAAAGAAAAATCATTTACTTTTAAAAATTTAAATTGCATGAATTATTGCCACGTTTAATACCTAAATTGAGTCATTTCAAGCCCTTTCTTTATCACCAAGAGAATTATTCCACGAGCGACACCACCCGCTCGATTGTGATGATCATGAGTATGTTTTAAAATAGAATTCAAATTTTTAAAATTTTACTTCAAGTTCGTGTTTAAGAAAATGCCTATGTATTCTATATTCAAATGAATTAAACACCACATAAAACCTTGCAAGAAATGTGTTCCTCCTCTTTTTTCCTTTTTTTTAACCCTTCCAACTTAAAAAAGCAAGTAGCTCGAATATTCCAAAATCTTAAATCTTCGAGGTAAAAATTTCTCCTTTTCTACTTTTTTCTTGATCCCATACGAGACCTTATTAAGCAATAATAAGCTTATTGTATTGGGTATAAGCATAAGTAACTAGTCGCGAAGCATAAAGAAAGGAAAATCGAAATTGTTGACAATTGATTAGAGTTTGTGTTTGTATTTTGTAAAACCTAATAGTGGACAATTAGTGTTAGCGATTGGATCCCTAGGTTATTGGCCATTTATTTCACGTTAACACTTCGTAATTGTACTCTGATCACTTCTTGAGGGAGCGAGCAGTCGTTTAAATATGTAGTTTATGCAGTATAACCACCCTTCTTGTTTAGGACCTGCAATAAACATACAAATACAAAATCAACACAAACTCAAATCAGGTGTCGACAAAACGAAATTTTTTTCAAAAACTATAGTTTCAATTCTCATTTCATTATACTTCACGACTAGTTGCATAAGCTTATACCCAGTACAAGAGGCTTATTATCGTTCAATAAGGCCTCATATGGGATCAAGAAAAGTGCTTCCGGGCATAACTCAGGGGTGCAAAGGATAGGAGTGAGGTAGTCTCAATCTTGCTGACAGCCGCAGTGTGAGAGTTCGATTCCTGAGATATGGAATTGGACTCTTTGTGGATACTAGTGTACGGGCAAACTCTTGTTTTCTGATCTATTGGAGCACATCTCACGATTTACCTTTCTCATGATACTTTAGGGGCGGGAATGGGAGCTTTTAAGGTTGGGGTTCAACCTTTAAGAAAAGAGTAGAAAGGGAGAAATCTTTACCTCCAAGATTTAAGATTTAGAAATAATCGATCTACTTGCTTATTTAAGTTGAAAGAAAAAAAACTTTTCTTGCAAGGTCTGACGTGGCGTTTAATTCATTTGAATATCTCAATTTATTGGCATTTTCTAAAGCACGGACTTGAAGTAAAATTTTAGGAATTTGAATTCTAATTTAAAACTTATCCATGGCATGATCATTACAATCATGCAGATGGTGTCGCTAGTAGTGTAATTCTCTCGGTGACTCAGTCGGGTGGTATAGGTATTAAACGCGACAATAATTTATGCAATTTAAAATTTGAAAAGTCAATTATTTTTTTTAAAAATATTTTTAGCTATCATTACGAAATATCAAAAGGAATCGAAATATTATATTTTTAATATCATTTTGAATTGCTCACGACCTTGTTTTTCACATCACTGACAATGCGCAAAATAGCCAACCGTAGCAAAAGTTACGAGGAATCAAAGTAGGCAGTTCCAAATTAGTATTCAAGAATTTCGATAACATACTAACTTTAAAAATTTATCGACGATCGTACGCTAGCCGAATCCACAAATTACCTACGTCATCTTGCAGTACGTTTGGGGGACTACATCGTGGTATATCGAATGGTTCAATTGAGCATAAAAAATAGCTAAACGTGCATCAAATGTACTTATCAAAAAGAGACGTTTAACTTGTCTTTTAAAAAAAAATTAATTATTTCATTAACGTTTATTATTTTCACTCGACAAATTTTCCAATTTAATTTATATTGTTATTATTATTAAAAAAATTTAATATGACGACAAAATTTTTTAAATCGTTACAAAATCTACTAAAAATCTAATTTTAATTTCAATCAAACAACAACATAATATTATTTTATTATGCGTAATTTTGTTAGTAGGACCTCTCGATGTTAAATATTTGTTTAATAACTTGCCACCAAGAGTTGATTGGTGATGTAGTCCTCCAAATTGATCCTTAAAGAAGCTTAAGGGATTACAATAGTTCAACACTCGTAGTTGAAATGAATTTCTAAAATATTATAAGCAGCTTATTGTTAATGACAAAAAATACTTTAGTGAGACAGTCTGATATGCACACGTAATGTCAACTTAGAATACAATATATTGAAATTCGAACCACGCAAATTACAACACTTGGTGTAGATCCGTCCGTCGACTTTTTTTCTCTCTTACCCACGTGACTCCTAAATGTCTTGGTTCGAATCCTTCAGAGTATAGAAGTGTACATTTCTATCACGTGTACAAATAAGATTGTTTCGTTGAAGTTTTTCTCCAATAATAGATCACAGAAGTGTAGAGGAAACACTAAGTTTGCTCATCTAGTTAGGCGGAAAGTATCGGACTATATTTTTGACATGTCTCAAATTTAATCGCCGTTAGAATCTTAGACTAATAGGTACTCCATTGCTTCGAAGAAGAAAATAATGAAAAGATATTCTTCTTCCCATCAATTTCTGCCTTCAATGTTCGATTCTTTAGCTTTGTTTAAGTTCAATAATGTGATGGTTCCCGGTCCACGGATGTATGCAAACACTTTAAGGTGCTTCGAAGGGGATATTGACATTCATATGCACTGACTCCCGTCTTTGGCAACCTATGAGGTTTTTGTATTAAAGAATCTAGCTACTTTGATATGTCTTATTCCATAGAAAGACGTAGCCCAGTTTATCAAGTGAGGTATTTGTGTTTGACATGAGTCAATGGATTCGCGCCAACCTAAACAACATCCAGAGCAACGACCCCAATAGTTGGGATGAGAAACTAGCTACTTTGATATGTCTTATCCTATAGAAAGACGTAGCCAAGTTTATCAAGTGGGGCATTCGTATTTGACACGAGTCGATGGATTCGTTCAACCTAAACAAAATCCAGAGCAATTGATTTGAAAGTTAAGTGTGTTTTTAGAAATCCTTCTTATTTCTTCTCTTCTTCAATTGATTTTCGATTTTTCTCTTGTAACTGCTCCGCATCATATATAGTTTACTCAAACGATCCCAAAATTGTGAATTCCGTCAATCTTACTTTTCCCTTGTTGGCTTTCATCCTATCTAGAAATGGGATGGGATGCACGTATAGTTTGGCAAGTGAATTTTAGGGAGTGGGAGTAGTTGCCTTTTCTTGCTCTTTCTCGATATCCTTCGCTATACCCGATAGTTTCATAGTAATTTTCGGCAATTGAACACAACTAGTGGTAATTGCATTCACCTTCGCTCGATGATTTACTTCATTGTTGCTTCACTTTAAAGGAAAAATTAGAGTTGGGCTTCCCAAAGTTCTATGTGGTGTGGTTATAAATCTCCAATTTATTTAAATCTATGAATATCAGTTTTCATCATTTGAACCAAAACGTCAACATGAATGATACGATTGCATGTATTTTTTACGTGACATAAAGTTAAGAGAATATAACCACTTGACATTTTTCTCAAAAAATTCAACTCAAAGTCGATGCAATTTTGGCCTTTTGCGTTAACATTTTCGATCACATGGGAACCTATGTCACACATTTAAATAGATTGGAAATACGAACCTCAATTTTGACGGCTAGGGACCATAACCACATGTTCGGGGAATGCACCCTTAATTTTTTGTGATGAAAATTTAGGAATAAGTAATTAATTATATTCACGTAATAGTTTTTAATAAATGTGTTACATTTAAATTTGTATTAAAGGTCCAAACACGTGCCTCATCTTTTTATATTGCATTCGTATTCTCAATCTTCTATTAATTATCATATATTGTTTTTTATGTCGATTTTTATCCCGAAATTTATTATCATGCTTTGAAATAAGGTACAAATACTTAGGTCCATTTTTGTGTGTGTGTTTATATAATAATAATAATAATAATAATAATAATAATAATAATAATAATAATAATAATAATAATTGAATACTAACTTACTACATCTTTAAGAAATCGATGACATCCTAAGTTAATTTGTTTAAATTTTTGAAAACGACCTGCTGGCATTTTCGCTAAGAATATATTTAAATAAGAAAAAAATTCTCTTCGAAATTCGCCACAACAATTCAGCAGTCAGAGACATGTCCACCACCATTATCATCGTTGACTGGTCGGAATTAACGCCGGAGCTCCTCCAGACTATTGCGGGAAACCTCCGTAGACAAGCCGATCACATCCGATTCCGAGCCGTCTGCTCAAGCTGGCGCGCCGCTGCTCCGCTAACTCCTCGCCATCTTCCACGCGAATTCCCCTGGCTTATGCTCCGGCCGAGCCGATCCGCGCTTTTCCCTCATCGGCGTGCCTTCCTGAATGCTCTTAGTAACAAGCTACACCTTCTCACGCTGCCAGAAGCCTCCTTAAGCCGCCGCCGCGTCGGCTCCTCCCACGGCTGGCTCATTCTTAACGACGAATCCCCTTCTATTTTCCTCATTAACCCCATCACACGCGCCAAAGTTAATCTCCCAGCGCCTTCAACTTTTCCAAATGTCTTAAATTTCGATTTCTACAGTGTAGGCGGTGAATACACGCTCCGGTCTCCAGGCGCTGAGGTCTATACTTGTAGTCTAAGGAAAATGCGCGACTCTTTTATTAAAAAGGTCATTCTCTCTCACAACCCTTACAATGACTCGAATTTCACTGCCTTGGCGATTCTTAATTGGCACGGAGATCTGGCATATTGTGAAAAGGGAGAAAATTCCTGGAAATTCATTGATGAAGCGCGATCATATTGTGAGGATGTAATTTATTTTAATGACTCATTTTATGCTGTGAATAAATTCGGGTCAATTGCCATTTGTGACGTGAAGGATGCAGATTGTCCTAAGGTTTCATTTATCAAAATGCAGCAGCAAATTGGCGGGGATATGCAGTATTTGGTGGATGCAATGGGAGAATTATTGTTGATCACGCGGTACTTAGAGCTTGACACTGATTCCGAGCATTTGGAACATCAGTCTGACAATGTGTACAAGACAGTGAAGTTTTGCGTGTGGAGGTTGGACTTGAGTGGGCCGAAGTGGGAGAGAATCATGACTTTGGGAGATAGAGTGTTATTTCTGGGGGAGAATTCATCATTGGCGATATTGGCGACTGATTATCCAGGTTGTAAAGGTAACAGGATTTACTTTGCGGATGATTATTCCGAGGCAAATTATGATGGAAATCACGGAATCAGTGGAGATCATGATGTTGGGTTTTACAATTTGGAGGATGGAAGTATTGAACCATTGCCGTTTAATCGTCGAATTTCACACTGGCCAATTTGGATTACTCCAAATCCATGTTAATCATGTGAGTTCTGTTGTTTCCCTTTGTTATTAATTGACTTGTGTATCTTGTCGAGCTTATTGTATAATGTATATCGAAACGCTTTTGAATTATGTTGTTAAGTGAAGTACTATCTGTCGTTCAATGCCTTGTTAAAATAATTTCTTAGACGATTTCATCGCAATACTGATGGCGTTCATCAACCAACTCCATAAATAGATTTCAAACCCTCCTGTTGTTGAAAATTTCCACTTTAATAATGCTTTAAAAAAGGAAATTTCAGTGCCTTTGGTTGTTCTGACTGACGATCATTTTGTACAGGAAATATGTGTAGCAGGATCGTTAGTGGGTTAACTGATATGGGAAAAAATGTAGATTAAAACCCAATGATAGATTCTCCTCTGTAAAATGTAGATAGAGCTGTAGTTTTTGTGGTCCTGCTCTATAAAATTGTACCTGGTTGTTCCTGCTCTATAAAATTGTTCCTGGTTGTAGACTTATTCTAATCCGTGTGAGACTTTCATCTACGTTCCTTAAGCCTGTAAAGTTCTGAAGAATTGTAAATTTATCATTGTTCTTTAGTTCAATAAGGAAAAAGCTGTATACCAGATTTGAAGAAATATGAATAGCTCTGGAGCTGAGCAGCACTTCTGGAACTCTTGAGCTGCATTGAGGTACTGAATACCGTACTTGGAAGCTGTGGACTTGGAAGCTGTGGAGTAACTCCAGCTCCCAAGACTGCATTTGGAATGCTGTTAATTTTTTCTATTTTTGTCACTGGGGTTTGGAATGTATGTTCTGTTTGAATTGAATAGGTTATTCAAGTGCTAAGCAGCCATAACAAAATTATGCTGTAACAAATTCAACTGGTATTTGGCTCTTGTAAGTTTTAGGTTTTTAACCACGACCAGCATTGACAAAAAGTCAAAGCTGTGTTATTTCTTCCCTTGGAAGAAAATTTATGAGTGATTCCGCGAAACATGAGTACAGGCAGTAAAATTTTTCAAGCTTGAGAAAAGTTATGAGATAGGCCTGAATGTTTGAAGAAGGCGATGAAGCCAAAAAATTTAAGCAAGAAAAACACAGAGATTGACCTAAAATGTAACAAAGGCAACGAAGCCTTTTGAATAGGCTGAGAATAATTTGGAATATCAACAAAAGTGAGGGCATCCTACCTAAACTATTAAATCTTATTCAAAAGGCTGGGTCTCAATTTGACCGGCCTGTGGTCATCTTGACTTTCACACACTGGAGGGCACCAGTCTATGCTCTAAATGAAATAAAGGGTATTTAAAACATTTTAAATAGAAAAGAGGCATTTTTAGGAGAACAAAATAAAAGAAATGCCTTTTTAACTGTCTACCTTGAGATGGCCTTTTAAAATAAATCCCCTTTCGAGAGTATTTTGAGCAAAGCTGAACAATCACATAACATAGGTAATGCTGTTTTTAAAATTATAGGTGAAACCTAGATTAATAAATTGATCGATTATCAAGTGGATTCCACTATAGTATGTACTCATTTACTTCTCATTTGTCTATGACACTATCACTTCCATGATGGAAATGGAATCATTGCCATCTTGAAGTATCTATTTGGAAAAAAAGAGAGAAAATGTCGAGGTTGATTTACTCGAGTCCTTTGACAGAATATGTAAATAAGATCATTAATGATGTCTATATTTTCAATAAGGTATAATCATTAATAGTAGATAATTATGAAGTTCTATCTCCTTCCTACTGTAGAAAATAAATCTGGCGTAATTTGTGAGAAACAATTTTGATTTCTTCTCACTGATGAAAAACAGAGAAATTATGGAGCCATTAATTGAAATTGTGCACATGTCAAGCTTTGGTGGGAAGAGTGAACTCGCGTACATGTGAGTAGCTTGTTAAAGACAGGATGTAAATTAAATACATGCGGGCTCCCTCTTAACAGCTTAAGGTTTTAGATAAGATGATTCAACACTTAAGTTTCATTTTGACACACACTTCAAACCCTTCATTTTCCCTGAATAAATTATTCTTGGAGAGCATTTATCCTTATTACCTTAGTAAGAATAGAATGTTTTTACTTTCCTTGATGTCTATGCTTACAAACACTCAGCACAATATTATTGTGTTACTGCCATCTTTGGTTTCACCAGAAAGTTCTTTTTTTCCTTTGTGGGTACAAAGTTATAGTTTTCAGTTATTTCGCAAAAATGGTATTGATTATTGTGTCCTTGTTTCAACTTCAATTGATTATTCCTTCACTTATAGTAAAGAATACTATATCTAATGGATTTCTAGATATAACTTAACTTTCTGCATGTTAGGTATATTTTATAGATATATAAATCTCTATAATTGGTTCATTTTTTTATTTTTTAGTTGTATATACTTCGCTGCTTGCTTCTGCTTCGGCATTATGCTTTGCCTGTCCATTAGGACATAATTAGCTTGAATATTCTGTGTTTTTATGTTCAATGTCTTATATGTGTTTGCGGAATCACGATACTAAACTTTAGCGACACTTTGATGGTAGCTGCCTAGTTATCACCATCAATGTGGTTGAACTTATATGTTTGCCATCGGGAAGGTTTTATAGCCACCAAAGTACCAGGGTAGGCAATACTTCTTCCCTCTATTTTTAGTGATATTATCTTTTTCGAGTTTTGTTAGGTTCATTTTTTGAGAAGAATGTTTGGATGGTTAAAATGGAGGGGACTGTATTTCATTTTCTTTCTTTTAATCTTTGTGTCAAACATATTTCATTTTCAGAAGAAAATATATGGAACTTTGTCCTAGATTTTAAACTTAAGATTTTCTTTGACATCCACTGAAATAAACAGATTCTGGAGTTTTGATGGCTTTATTGAATGTGAAGTGCCTGATTCTTAGATAATTGATCATAGTTTAAATCTGGAAATGATTGGTATATAAAGATTAAAGAAAAAACGATTATCCACATACTAGGCAATTTGGGGACAAGTGACAATAATGCAATTTTCATGGTTTGTAATGTGTATTATTTCATCACAGAACTGATAAAATATTATTAAAAAGATACCATCCTTCTTCAAATCTAATTTGAGATTCTTTTCCTTTTTCTTGTAAATTATTCTTCTTACATTATTCACACACCATATCTACAATCCAGGGGTTCAAAAAAAGGAAAAAAAAAAAAAAAAAAAAAAGGGNNNGAAAAAAAAAAAAAAAAAAAAGGGTACATTGCCACACCAATTGAGACAACAGAGGGCTCAAGAGCCGAAGTCAGCCCATTGATGTCAATCACTATCACAGTCACACTATACTTAACCAATACACCTCATGGAGTAGGTGAATACTGTAGTGTCAAGACTAGGGGATCCATATGCTCTTGGGTGATCGCTCTCCAATCCATAGTCCATGGCTCGATGGTACTCGAGCTCCTCGTCATGTTCATGCACAAATTCTGGAATCTCAATTTCTTTCCTCCTTATGTTATTCCACAGATATTCCAACCTGTTAATGTACCTCAGCTTCCAATAAAACCTGTTAAAGCTGAATCCCAGCATCAGTAATGTACACCCTACACCCTTAGTTTAATAAACCACATTGAGCCTATGTTTGGGTAAACTTATTAGTTACTTATAATTTTCAGGCAAAGTCAAACTTTAATTTTAACCATACATTCAAAACTACTATCCATTTATTATTCACAAATTTTGTGAGACCCTTCCAGTCCACTACTTATACTAACACAGGGAAAAGTAGTTTTCTATCAGGCATTTTCTTTTAAAGGGATGCATTTCAACTTGCTATACTGACTTCTGGATAATCTGATAGCCTTTTGAATCTTTTGCAATTAAAGCTTTTTTATTATTATTTTTTTTTTAAACAAATATTGATGGAACAGAAATTCCGAGATGGAATATTCCGTTGAAAAATAGATTAGAAAATTAATGTTTTTGAGAGCACCGATTTCATTTCCATTTTGAGACCTTTTAGTCGAAAGCCTTCTAGGACCGACAGCAATTCTGACTGAAATCGAAACAATGTTTCAGTCAGAAATTTTCTGTAGGTATGGACAGATTATTTTGTAGTGGATGATGCTTCATTGCGAGTTACGTAAAAAGACTGTTTAGTTGTCAGTTACCATCCTGGGAAGAGGAGACGTCCAAAGGTGGCGAGGAAGAGTCGGGACTGAAAGCCAGGATGCAGGAAATAAACTGCCTTCAGATTTTCTCTGATATTGATTGGAATGGCCTTGTAGATTGATCTTAAACCTAATATTCCAGGTAAGTTCTCACTTCTATCTACCCCTGTGTGCACATACACCACTGAGTATGGCCTCTCACTTAAGCTTGGAAAAATTTGTTCTTCCAAGTATTTCTTCAGTGCCTCCACATTCACAATCCTCGCTAATATAAATAGCAATAAACAAAGGAAAATATTAGTAATATGAAGAGACGGTTAATAACCTGTCCAAGGAGAGAGAAAATTGAGTGGAAAGCGGTGAAATTTATTTATGTTGATAGCATAGTGATAGTTACCAAGGACAGCGATTCTGTTCTTATACTTCTTTTGGAAAGAAGAACCTCTATATTGATTCTGCAATACTTAGAGAAGGATAGGACGGTAAGAAAGAAATGGATTATTCACTTTCTTACCATCCTATAAAATTCATAAATATTGTTTGTAAAAGTCTTCATTTATCATTTAAGACACAAAATTGTGGCCTCATCACACACAATGCTAACCGTTTAGTGCTATAATAAGCGGGAATTACCAGGGAAAAGGTTTCCTATGATGCGAAGTATGGCATGTCCTTGTTTATCTCTGCCTTGAATCTTGAAGATTTCAAGTTTTTGAACAAGTTCTTCTTGTTGAGATTGAGAGAGAACTGAAGATGCTTTACTAAAAATCATGGTGAATGGGATCTTAGAGAAGATTTTCAGTTTTCATTATTTAAAGGAGAGTTTGTGGGGGATGAATGATGATGTAATATGAGTTATGTAGATACTGTTTGAGGGAGCGTTGGGAGATGCAAGTCATTTAATGGGTTTTGTTTCCTAGTACTGATCCTTACATGCATGTGTGTTGTTTGTGTGTGTCTCAATGTGTGCGCGCACGCAGGTTGCGAGGTGGTTAGCCATTTTTGGGCTCGATAGCTTGAAGGGTAAGCCTCGGAAAGCATATTCCGAGCATCTTCCTTTTATTTTCGAAGTAGAGATAAACCAAGTTAGCTAGCCGCTGTAACTGTTAGGCGTACGGGTTCTTTTGGCCTTCTTTGGCAGAAGATCTAGGCCCTCCATCGACTGAATGTTGTCAAGGATGTTGTGAGTATAGTATGCTCGAGACAAGTCGACTATGGTTGTCAAGATTGACGAGGACGGTAAATTTTAACCTTATTTTATTTTATATTATTTTTTTTTTTGCTTTTTAAATCTTTGCACAAGTCATTATAACTTGTTATTTTGCTTGATTAACATTATTTGAAGATGCTTTTGGTTTAATGATGATTTTCTTTTTGAATCTTAATAATTTTATCTTCTTTTCTTCTTCAACTAAAACAGTCGAAACTCCATTTGCTGTGAGGCATATGAGAGAAGAGTATACACATTTTAAAGAGAGCCGTATATTGTGGATATTTTTCATTCTCTCTTTTTATATGAATTTTGTAAATTATCTAAAAAAAATCAATGTGTATATTGACTGACCATTCTATATTTCTGCACACTATTTGCAATATTGTATGTTTTGTATATTTAAGATATATAAAATTCACATATTTGCTTATGATAATCTTGTGCATTCAAAATGAGTAATATTATTCATCTAGAGTCTATATGTCGCATTATCCAATGAACTTTCAATATATTTTTAGACATCCGACAATGTGACATTGATTACACTATTATATAGATCGATCATTATTTAAATTCTAGATGAATAGTTGTAACACTCGAGCCTTTATGTTTAAGTCGTTATATCATTCGTATTTTTTGCTATGGAAGATCCTAAAGTCATCTTATCCTCTTAAATTTTTGTTGTGTCCTCCCAGTATACGAGGGATTAGATGAGTTTAGGTTCTCTAAAATCATATAATATTTATGATATAAAGGTTTGGACATAGAACCTCGAATCGTTACAATAGTATTACTTATTCAAAATATATAACCATAACTAATGTAAATTAGGTAAAGTTTGTCTTTTCAAATTGGTTCACCAACGGGTTGTGCTACATTTACATTATAATTTAGATTTATTTACCAACAGATAACAGTGAACTTGGTTGTGCTACGTTTACATTATAATTTAGATTTATTTACCAATAGATAACAATGTGAGATTTGACTTAGTCAAAATCTTACAAATAAAAAAAAAAAATGTTCCTGGTCCATTTAATTTATTATATTCTTCAACCCCTCAATTCTTTTAAAAGAGTGTAAATTAGTCCTTGAGTCCATCATTCTAACTCATGGAATTTAATCCCAATATTATAGAAGTCATCTGATTTTGTCATTCTTTTCCAGTTGCTTAGAAACATGTCCATAACTGAAACAAGAAAAAATACATCTAAGTTAAGGTCATCTGAAGCACTACACCAAAATTTGTATCATTTTGCACCAAATCAAAATTCTTCTCCAATCATTATATCAAAACTTACATCAAATGAACAATGCTTTATTATTTTATTCATTCTTTCGATTTTTGTCAATGTATTCATTTAAAAAAATTATTTATTTATTTTATAATTATATAAATTACTAAATCATGACTTCGTTAAATTAAAAAAATATATTGATTACTAAATTATTCACGTGTTTTATATATTATGTTAAATTGACAAAAATAATTGATTATATTATTAACTTATGATAAACAATTACATTAAATTTACAAAAATAATAAACTTTAATAATATAAACTTTACGTTAAATTAAACTCTAAACGTAAACTTTACGTTAAATTAACAATTACGTTAATTATTATTGATTATATTATTAAAAATAATAATTTTTAATAATATAATTAATAATGTAATTATTATCGTCGTCATCATTATAGAACAAAAATGACACAAATACTCATAACGATTATTTTTTAAAAATAAGGGCAAAACGGATATTATACCATATACTGCAAAAAATGGTGTAATGAATAGTGTTTAATAATATGGCTCAAATAAGTGTACAAAATGCACTTATCACATAGACATAATTGCAGTAATTATGTATTTGCTTGGATGTCTACCGGGTACGTACTCTACAATGTCACATTTTTGTCAACGTTTGAGTTTTCGACCTTTTACTTTTGTCGCATTTAGATGTCCAAGTAGATTGTAATTGATGTGAAATTGAAAGGGAGAATGGATGGGAGTATTTATTGGGGTTGCACTAAGGACTTGGAAGTGGAGAGAGCCACTGAGCTGGAAATAAGTCCCAAAAGACATTTCTTTCATCTTTGGCATCACCCTTGTTAAATGAATGCATAGGTGGAGGTGAAGAACTTTGGGGTGGCTTTGTTGGTGGTGGCGGTGGTGCATTTTCTTGCTGCTCACACATGAACGGAAGTGAATTTGAAAGTAAATTCGGTCCATTTTTAATTGAACAAATAAGAATTCTGGATTAATTATCATTATTATTATTTAGTATAGTTTTGTAAAAAAATATTAATTATAAGTAAAAAATGCCATATGTTTCATTAACTAACCTGTTACAGTTTTCTCTCACCAATTAACCTAATCAATTAAATTTTAAAAACAGAAACTCTCTCATAAAAAATCATTCCCACTCCCAAACGTACGTTGACATTCAAGAAAATCTCACCCTCAATTCACCATATCCATTCGCTTGACAAATAAATTATATGACTTGTATTCACCATAACCTCACAATGAGATACTACATGGTGAATTGACATTCTCATCATATTTTCTACTAACTTGTCTGGTCCGATGAACACATTAACATAAATTACAGTTACTTGATCACATTTAAAGTTAAAACGACAAAAAGAAATTAAAACTTTATATTAAATTTTTAGTGAGGTCTCAAGATGGTTTAGAGATTGGTCGCATTTTACAATCCACAATCAATTGAGGGGTTACAATCACATCAAATAGGGAATAACAACTATGAGCTTAATATAGAATCACTGGTTTGGATTTTACGAAATATCACCTTTATTGTCGTTTTCGGAAAAAAAAAATGAAAAAATGTGTTGTATTTTAAAAGTATCGAGTTTTTAAAATATTCCAAACTTGCCTTATTTTAAAAAAAAAATAGATGGAAAAATGTATTGTATTTTGAAAATGTCGAGTTTTTTAGAACGTCAATGTCATTATGTAGACATAGCATACAATGCCATTATTCAACAACATAGGAAAAAAATAATAAAGTGTAAGGACAATTTCATTCAATCTAATTGTCATTATAAAAATGTAATACAATTGGTCTAACTAATTAAGGCCACTTGGTAATTGGTATATTGTATAAAATTAAACAACGATAGGTTAGGAAGGATAATATTAAGGAGGATTGTGGCAATGTGACGTTTGATACTACACTTTATTAAAATAATATATAAATATTGAAAAAATAATAAAATATTTTTTATTTATAAGCAGTTTTTCTTACCTATTCATGAGTTTATAAGCAATTTTTTTACTCATATATATTTTAGATGTAAGTTTTTTTATTCATAATTGTTTGTTTACTTATTTGTGATTCTTTTTTTACCTAATAGATAAATTTTTTACTTATTAAGTATTTTACACTTGTAAGTTAGTTTTTAATTTATTCGTGAAATTATTTTTATAGATATGTGAGTTTTTTTTTTCTTTTTTTTTTTACTTGTAAACGACCTTTTTAGTCGAATTATATTTTTTTCCCCTTATAGCATATGTTTTTCTTATTATTACTAAAATTTTATTCATGGGTAAATTTTTCTTTTTTTAAAAAAAAAATTATTGCTATGTAAAATAGATTTTGCTTATTCTAAAATTTCTTATTTTATGTGATGAATTTTTATTGTGCTACTCTTTTTAGTTAAGCCCCTAGTATAGAGAAGATTGTCTTGGAGAATGTCAGGGAGATAGGTGACGTCTATGTATTGACCAGAATAAAACTGTTTTTTATTCAAGGTCCAATAATACGCGGCACATCTATGTCCTCCTATAATGCAGTTGACAATTCTTTTTGTATATGTAGTAGGGTTGTACTGCGTTTTAGTATGTACCCGTGACAATTGGGGGTGGGAGGTTGAAGTGGGCGCGGGGTGGAATTAGTGGAGGGGTGCAAGTGCTTGGTTGGATAATATTTAAAACTCGTATTAGTGTATGATCACATATTTATTCGGACTTAATGTTTAGATTATTTAAATTTATCTGATTAAGGTAGTATAACTTGGTCGAATTAATTAAATCCTAGTACTATTTGTATCAAACATCGGATATGTAAAAGTTATCCTACATGCATGCCTAATGCACCCTAAATACATATGTAAAGTAGTGTGACAAAAAAATGTTTATCACCCATTTATGTGGTGGCTCAAACACTTTCGTCAACAAGGAACCATCTGGAGTCAGCAACCAATGCCATGTCATTGTAACTACTTTTAGAAGGTTCCATTTATTTTTAGCCTTACATATATAATGTGCACTTTGAACTAGGGGTGTAAGCGATTCGATTTTATCGATTTTTGATAGATTTTCAAGCCGCTTTGGCCAAGTAGAATAATTCATTGAAAAATCAAAACACACGAGCAAACAGCAGATTTGTAGTCCTATGAACAAGAAAAAAGATAACAGCAAATTTATGCAGTCGAGGCGAATACTATCAGCAACCTCTACTTTGCAAATCTTATCATAAACACCCAAAAAAGAAACATAAAAACATCTCTCTTCAACTTGAACCCACTGCTCTCAGAATCCCAATTAAAAATCAGTCTTTTTTCTTCAGAAACATAAAAACATCTCTCTTCAATTTGAACCGCCCACGGCTCTCAGAATCCCAATAAAAAATCAGTATTTTTTCTTCTTTCTTTTGTTCTACACAAATGTTTAAATCAAAGTCTGAAATTCATATCAAGATTATTAGACTAAGTTTCTGCTTAGAACGAAATAA